TAGGCTTCTAGTTAGGATAGTCAAATTTAGTTCTGTGGCTCTGTTGTAATCGATTGCTTTGGGCTGCCCTGGGCTCTGCAGGCTGTGAGTTTGATTGCTTCCCCCTATGGCCGGATCTAGGGGGGTGCTGGGGTGGGCTATGCCCCCCAGAATTTCAGCTGTGCCCCCCCCCAGGTAACCCATGGACTTAACAAGAGAAGCTGTCTGCAGCGGTTCACACAGCCCAGACAGCACACTCCCCCTCCTCTTCCCTGCACTGATGAGAGAGGAGGGAGGAGATCAATGTATACTGCCTCCTCCTGCCCCTCTCCTCCTGTCTGCCCCGCCCACACTCCAATTCCCGGCCGGTGCTGTTCCTGAGAAGATGTGTGGGTGGGAAATTTGAAGCACTGCAGCCAGCAACATGGTAACTGCAGGATTGATTCCTCTGCCTGAGCCTGCAGAGGCCAGCCTGGGTGAGTGAGCTGAGCTCTGCACTACAGCTGAATTCCAATCTCCCTCCCTTCTCTCCCCCTCTCTATCTCTCCCCCTCCTATCCTCCCCTTCTCTCCCCACCTTCTTTCACCCCCCCCCATCTCCTCCCTTCTCTACCCCCCCCCCGTCACTCCCCCCCCGTCACTCCCCCTTCTTTCTCCCCTCTCACCCCCTTCTCTCCCACCTCTATCTCTCCACCTATCAATGCCGCCTATCAGTGCCCATCAGTGCTGCCTATCTGTGCCACCTCATCAGTGCCCATCAGTGCTGCCTAGCAGTGCCCATCAGTGCTGCCTATCCGTGCCACCTTGTCAGTGCCCGTCAGAGCTGCCTATCCATGCCACCTCATCAGTGCCCATCAGTGCTGCCTATCCGTGCCACCTCATCAGTGCCCATCAGTGCTGCCTAGCAGTGCCCATGAGTGCTGCCTATCCATGCCACCTCATCAGTGCCCATCAGTGCTGCCTATCCATGCCACCTCATCAGTGCCCATCAGTGCTGCCTATCTATGCCACCTCATCAGTGCCCATCAGTGCTGCCTATCCATGCCACCTCATCAGTGCCCATCAGTGCTGCCTATCCATGCCACCTCATCAGTGCCCATCAGTGCTGCCTATCCTTGCCACCTCATCAGTGCCCATCAGTGCTGCCTATCCGTGCCACCTCATCAGTGCCCATCAGTGCTGCCTAGCAGTGCCCATGAGTGCTGCCTATCCATGCCACCTCATCAGTGCCCATCAGTGCTGCCTATCTATGCCACCTCATCAGTGCCCATCAGTGCTGCCAGTCAGTGCCCATCAGTGCTGCCTATCAGTGCCACCTCATCAATGCACATCAGTGAAGGAGAAAAATTAGCTGTTTGCAAAATTTTATAATAGAAACAAAAGAAAACCTTTTTGGTTCACATTGTTTGTTCTTTTTTTGTTTATAGCGCAAAAAATAAAACACCCAGCGGCAATTAAATACCACCAAAAGAAAGCTCTATTTGTGTGAAAAAAATTATAAAAATTTCATATGGGTACAGTGTTGCATGACCGCACAATTGACATTCAAAATGCGACAGCGCTGAAAGCTGAAAATTGGCCTGGGCAGGAAGGGGGTATAAGTGCCTGGTGGGCAGGAAGGGGGTATAAGTGCCTGGCGGGCAGGAAGGGGGTATAAGTGCCTGGCGGGCAGGAAGGGGGTATAAGTGCCTGGTGGGCAGGAAGGGGGTATAAGTGCCTGGTGGGCAGGAAGGGGTATAAGTGCCTGGTGGGCAGGAAGGGGGTAGAAGTGCCTGATGGGCAGGAAGGGGGTAGAAGTGCCCGGGTAGGCAGGAAGGGGGTATAATTGCCCGGTGGGCAGGAAGGGGGTATAAGTGCCTGGTGGGCAGGAAGGGGCGGGCAGGGAAGGGGGTATAAGTGCCTGGCGGGCAGGAAGGGGGTATAAGTGCCTGGTGGGCAGGAAGGGGATAGAAGTGTCCTGTAGGCAGGAAGGGGGTAGAAGTGCCTGATGGGCAGGAAGGGGGTATAAGTGCCTGGCGGGCAGGAAGGGGGTATAAGTGCCAGTAGGCAGTGCCCTGTAGGCAGGAAGGGGGTAGAAGTGCCCTGGGAGGCAGGAAGGGGGTAGAAGTGCCTGATGGGCAGGAAGGGGGTATAAGTGCCTGGCGGGCAGGAAGGGGGTATAAGTGCCCAGTAGGCAGGAAGGGGGTAGAAGTGCCCTGTAGGCAGGAAGGGGGGTAGAAGTGCCCTGTAGGCAGGAAGGGGGTAGAAGTGCCTGATAGGGCAGGAAGGGGGTAGAAGTGCCGGGAGGCAGGAAGGGGGTAGAAGTGCCTGGCGGGCAGGAAGGGGGTATAAGTGCCCTGTAGGCAGGAAGGGGGTAGAAGTGCCCGGGAGGCAGGAAGGGGGTAGAAGTGCCCCGGGAGGCAGGAAGGGGGTAGAAGTGCCCGGTAGGCAGGAAGGGGGGTAGAAGTGCCCGGGAGGCAGGAAGGGGGTAGAAGTGCCTGGTGGGCAGGAAGGGGGTATAAGTGCCCAGTAGGCAGGAAGGGGGTAGAAGTGCCCGGGAGGCAGGAAGGGGGTAGAAGTGCCCGGGAGGCAGGAAGGGGGTAGAAGTGCCCTGTGGGCAGGAAGAGGGTATAAGTGCCTGGCGGGCAGGAAGGAGGTATAAGTGCCTGGTGGGCAGGAAGGGGGTATAAGTGCCTGGTGGGCAAGTGGTTAACAATGGGAATGCACACCTAGGAGGCACACAATGGTAGAAAGACAGTAAATACATAACACCTTAATAAGCAGATTAGAGCAAGAGTCCTCAGCATTGTTTTGAGCTGATTATATCAACATCTACTTAGAGTCTAGGAAAAGGGGGGGGTTTGAAGCAGTCAATGCTGGTTTGGGTACAGAGACCCCAAATCTATATCCTGGTCCTCCAGTTCTCAGAGCCTGTGTGTTTCAAGGTCACATGGATTTAAATCCAAAGTAAACTACTCCAAAGGTCCCCCCAGGCACACACCAAAGAATAGAGCCCCCTCAGATGCCAGGGCCATGGTCAGTAGGCAAGAGACTAGCCTGTCCCCTCCAAGAGCCTTTGTCCCAGTTGGGTCCACCAAAATTTCTTCAGGCATTTACTCCTTTCAGGCCAAACTCCCGCAATGCATTATACAACATCAATGTCACCAGCCTCCGGTCAAACCAACTGACTCAATGGACAAAATGTCGGCCAGCAGGGTGCATGGGTGACAGGTCCTCTTCAACGGAAAACGTTCTGAAAAATCATTTTATTGTCAGATCTGACTTTTCTCTCTGTTTGACAGCCGTTATCGGAGACAAGCACCGCGCATATAAATATTTTTAATGCTTTATGAGAGAAGAGTAGTAAGTACAATCCCACACAAGTTACAGTAAATGCCATAAATTGTTATGACACAGCTTTATACGAAGGTAGTCCTTTTGTTGCTTTTAGCGCTCACTAAAATATACACCGTATATTTTAAAGTAACCCGGGAGAACAAAGAAAATGAAGGATGAAATTATTATCACCGGTCAGATAAAACCCTGGGCTTATTCACTCAATCATTTATCACTTCAAGGTTACCAAGTCACTGGATTATTATTCGCGAAACAAAAAAAAAAAAAAAAAAGAAAAGAAAAAAAAAAATCACTCAAGCTGAAAAAGTGACCTCAAATTCAGACTGTAGATTTCTGGAAATAAATATTTAAATATAGCTTAAACTGCAGCCTCCGGTGTTAACTCCGAGTCAAGCAAAAACGCTGAAAGGAGAATAGGCAGGAAGAAAGAATTTCACATTATAATGCAGACAGCTAATCCCGTTTTATTTCCACAGATATCATTACAGTAAACCATCTTTTAAATTCAATCTTCTAGCCAGTTATTCCATAATTTATCACACAGAGAGAAATATTTTCGGACAGAAAAAGTACTGCTAGTCTTTTAAAATGTGTGACCCAGTCTGGCATAACTGCCAAGATAAGAACAAGATATGAATGGCAACTCATTGTGATATTAAACTTTCTGGAAAAAAGGAAGAATTATAGGTCTACGGAGCTCAATACATAAACTAGGCTGTCGGTTTCCAGAACCAGAGTGAAGGTAAAGGTGGAAAGTGTTTGTGTTCGCCACGGCCACCAATCAGAACAGTTCGTATTTGTCATTTAGAGCACCTGTACGCTTGGTTGTTCATGCAATTATCCAATCAGCCTGCAGGCAAGCGCAGTCTATTTTCTCTGCTGCACGTGGCGCTCAAACTGCGGCAGACGGAGAGTAATTTGTTCCTCTATGGGTTGCTGGGTCAGCCATCCGGTTGGAGGCTGTCTCGTCATGTGACATTGATGGCCATCTTGGGTCAGACAGAATCTATTTAACCACTTCCTGTCCGGACACTTTCACCCCCTTCCTGTCCGGACACTTTCACCCCTTCCTGTCCGGACACTTTCACCCCCTTCCAGTCCGGACACTTTCCCCCCCTTCCAGTCCGGACACTTTCCCCCCCTTCCAGTCCGGACACTTTCCCCCCCCCCTTCCTGTCCGGACACTTTCACCCCCTTCCTGTCCGGACACTTTCACCACCCCCCTTCCAGTCCGGACACTTTCACCCCCTTCCTGTGTCCGGACACTTTCACCCCCCCCTTCCAGTCCGGACACTTTCCCCCCCTTCCAGTCCGGACACTTTCACCCCCTTCCAGTCCGGACACTTTCCCCCCCTTCCAGTCCGGACACTTTCCCCCCCTTCCAGTCCGGACACTTTCCCCCCCTTCCAGTCCGGACACTTTCCCCCCTTCCAGTCCCGACACTTTTCCCCCCCTTCTAGTCCGGACACTTTTCCCCCCTTCCAGTCCGGACACTTTCCCCTCTTCCAGTCCGGACACTTTCCCCCCCTTCCAGTCCGGACACTTCCCCCCCTTCCAGTCCGGACACTTTCCCCCCCCTCTTCCAGTCCGGACACTTTCCCCCCCCTTCCAGTCCGGACACTTCCCCCCCTTCCAGTCCGGACACTTTCACCCCCTTCCAGTCCGGACACTTTCCCCCCCTTCCAGTCCGGACACTTTCACCCCCTTCCAGTCCGGACACTTTCCCCCCCTTTCAGTCCGGACACTTTCACCCCCTTCCAGTCCGGACACTTTCACCCCCTTCCAGTCCGGACACTTTTACCCCCTTCCTGACCAGAGCAATTTTCAGCTTTCAGCGCTATCACACTTTAAATGACAATTGCGCAGTCATGCAACACTGTATCCATATGAATTTTTTACCATTTTGTTGAGACAGATAAAGCTTTATTTTGGTGGTATTTATTCACTGCTGGGATTTTTTATTTTTTTTGCTATATAAATGAAAATGTCCAAAAATTTTGAAAAAAAAGTGTTTTTTGCAAAAAAAAATTTTGCAAATAAATAATCTTTCATCATAAATCTTGACCAAAATGTATTCCGTTATATTTTTATATTTCTAGAAAAAGAAAAAAATAGGCCAAATTAGTTTATAACCAAAAATTATAATTTTTAAACTTTTTTTTTTTACATTTTTAATTTATTTTTTTATATTATTATTTATGGTTTTTTGGGGTTTTTTTTTACATACTGTCACCCTAGCAGTACAGTGTCACCATGGTGACACTGTACTACTTGTGGGGGGTGATGAAGATTTTTTTTTTTTTTTTTTTTTACAGTGATTGCTTTTACACCCATATAGGATGTAAAATCAATCATTTCTCTTTCTCTCTGTCTGCATTCTTGCAGCCATTGAGAACTGTTGTGTGAGCTGTGATTGGTCACACCTTGTAACATGGTACAAGGCTGTTGGGAATAGCCTTATACCATGTGACCTCTGTGATCATTCGCAGATTTCACATGTAGTAAGCAATGATGTCACAAGTGACATCTTGCTTACTACTTTGCATGTGATCACTTATTGGCCAATCAGTGATCACATGATCAGGACCGAGGTCCCGTCCGACGATCGGTGTTTCACTGTGTCCCAGGGAGCGCTCCCAGCTAGAAAAGGCGGGTGCTGCTTATGAACGGCAACCCGCCCCTGGAGTGCCACCCGCCCTGCCATTCATAAACAGCAGGCGGACGGCAAGTGGTTAAAGCGGAACTTCACTCTCTCAATCAACATTGACTATTTTGAATCCTTAGGCTGCCAGCATGAGCAAATAGATAGGAAAGTACATCATATTTACTTGCTGTAGCCTCCCTGGCGGTATTCCGGAGTGTAGCTCGGGGTAAAGTTTCAGTACCAAAAGCGGTAACCCCCCCCCCCGAGCTACACTCGGGCTTACCATGCGGCGCTGCTTTCCATTTCTTCAGGTACTGCTTGGTTTTCATGCCTAGGCAAATGATGTCATACATCCCAGGAGACTTCAGAAGGGGGCAGGGTTCTCAGCTCAGCCTATGCCTGAGCTATGGGCAGATTGATTCCAGGAAGTAAATGATACATCAATCAACATTGACTATTTTGAATCCTTAGGCTGCCAGCATTAGTAAATAGATAGGAAAGTATATCATGTTTACTTGCTGTAGCCTCCCTGGCGGTATTCCCGAGTGTAGCTCGGGGTAAAGTTTCAGTACCAAAGCGGTAACCCCCCCGAGCTACACTCGGGCTTACCATGTGGTGCTGCTCCAGGATTTGTTCTTCACTTACCTTGTCCTGCACTCCCGCGATGTCCCTCCTGCAGTGTCCTCTGTAATGTCCTCTGGCTGATTCCGGCATCTGTCTTCCGGGGTTCTGTTCCCTGCGACGTCGGGACGTACGGGGGACGGAACTGGCGGGAAATTTGAAAATTGTAAAAGAAGTGACATTCACTAAATACACTAAAATCACATAGTATAACATTCCTGTATCAAACCATTTCACATACATTTGTCCGAGTGCTTTGTCCGGCGCCCTGCCTGCATTTTTACTGTTCTTTCTGCCTGGAAACTGAGAAACGTCCATGGCGTCCAAAAAGTGTCCCTTTAGGTCAAAAGCGGTTTTAGACCTCCAGCCTGGTCAGTTTGTAATGACATTCCTTTGGTATGAAGTCAACTAAGGTAACCATCCTTGTATGGCCTTCATAACCAAGGCTTGGAGGCTTAGAATTCATTAGCGAGCCACAAAATGAATAAAGGAAATATGAACTTTCCCCATCAGACACCTGTAGCTGGAAAGTTGTTAATGGCGCACAATGAAACCTATGGCTTTGTGTAACTAAAAGGCAGGCTTGATGCACCTGCTGGCTCGTTAATAATTTTTAGGCAATTTTTAGGCACCACTGAAGAAACCTGAAGGCAACCCGGGGTGGGCACCCTGATTGAAAAAGGTTGGTTTACATACAGTCATGGCCAAAAATATTGGCACCCCTGCATTTCTGCCAGATAACGCACCACTTCACCCAGAAAATTGTTGCAATTACAAATGTTTAGGCAATCTCATGTTTATTTCTTTTTTTTTGTATTGGTATGACACAAAAAAGTGGAGAAGAAAACGAAATCTGACACATTCCACGCAGAACCCCAAAAATGGACACAAATGGACGATCAACTTCAGGGCTGCCAATATTTTTGGCCATGACTGAAATTACTTTTTCTTTATAAATAACAAATAAACCCTGGTGAATAATATTAATAATATATCAATATATTCCAAAGTCCACATCATCGCGCCTCTGGAATGTAGTACCATGAAATATAGCGTATATATATATATATATATATATATATATATATATATATATATAAATATATATCGAAAGAGCAGGGCCCTCGAACCCCTCGTGTATTGTGTTGTTACTGTCTTGTCTCATGTTCTGTCCCCCTTGCTACTGTACAGCGCTGAGCATACCCTTTGGCGCTATATAAATACTGTATAATAATAATAATAATAATAATTTATTAAATCATATAGGAGCTGCTATTATGCAACAATACCTCAAATTATAACTAATATGTGAAAATAAAAATATAATAAATAATATATAGTATAACCACAAATAATAACCAAAAAAGATAGCGTTCACAAAAATAAATAAATAAATAAATAAATAATACCATACTAATAAAGTATTACTCCACCACCAAAATAAATTGTGTGGAAAAAATTAATTAATAAAATAAATTAATAAATAAATAAAAAAATCTATTGATTATTTATTTTATTTTATTTTTTTTCACACAATTTATTTTGGTGGTGGAGTAATAATTTATTAGTATGGTATTATTATTTATTTATTTATTTTTGTGAACGCTATTATTTGTGGTTACATTATATATTATTTATTATATTTTATTTTCGCATATTAGTTAGACTTTTCCTTTATCAAGAATTCTCCATAGAACAAATGCAATAATTTGAAGGTTGGATTTTTGCTAGTTTAATACATTTTTGTTTTATAGAGGTTTATATATCAGAACAAAAAGAGGGATAACTTAGGAGGAAAGAGGGACGGAGGGATTTGGTTCCAAAAGAAAGACAGACCCTCCATATCAGGAACAGTTGAGCTATATTTCCTGCTGTAGGTCAGATACGTTGCAGAAAAGACTTTTATTGCAAAGAGCATCTAAAACAAAAAGAAGACAAAGGTTAATGTCTTTTGCCTGGAGATCTCTTTTTAAATGAAACCTTGAAATAAGAACTCTTCATGGTAACGCTTATATCCCAATCCATTATATCTGATCATTCTAAGCTCATTTCTAAAGGCAGCTCCTGTTTTCATTAATTTTAACCTATTCATTTATATATTTTTTTTAATTTGATGCTGCCATACTTTACATTTTTCCACAACCATTTAAAAATAAAAGATATGAATTCTAAAATAAAATAATAGAGGATAGACTGAGCGCGCTGTCTGTAATGTAATATTTGTCTATGCAGAATTGCAGTCCTTTTAACTGCCGCCGTCAAAAAAATATTGTTACGAATGCAATCCCATTTATGTTAATTCCCTTCTCAGATCAAATTCAGAATAAAATTAGGGTGCACGGTTTGTTTTCAAAATACATACAATGTAGATGTGTTAGAATGAGAATCTGTAATGCCCCATCCTATCAGGCAAATTATTTTTTAGTTAATAACTTAAGTACACTGTTAGTGAAATTACAAGTCGCTTATGACACAATAAATATACAACAAAAAAGTTGCACCATGAATTATTCAATTCTGCGACTGCAAGTTAAGAGAGGAAAGAGCACTATGGGAAAGTGATTAGCATCTGAAAAGAAAGCCATTTCCAAGCTGAAACAATCAATGTCACCTACATCTGAAGCTGCCTAGCGGTGTTTTAGAAAAAAAAAAAAAAAAAAGAAGGGAAAAAAATACCATTAATATACACATTTAAGTCTTTGGAGTCTCTATAAAAGCATTTAGTATTTGATTTACATTAAAGACATTTGTTTATTTTTTTTCCACTGTCTGTCTCAGCTGAAAAATATATCCTCTTTAATAAACGTTTGCTTAATGTGCATTAAAACAATTTAAGTTCCATAAAAGTGATGAATCAGAAGGAAATTCAAACTTTCATATCTTATTCTTTTGGTGACATATTTACATAGGAAGGGAGATTTAGGCTTTTCTATTCTTGGTCTATGTAGGTAGTCTATTTACCAATTACCAGTAAATAAGATGTCAGTAGCAGGAGAGATGTTATAGGTATGAAGGTACACATCTAGGATCTCTAAGTTATATGGTCCGTGGCAGATTGAGGCAGAATGGACCCCTAGGCAAGGTACAAGGGGTGTAACGGAACCGGACCCCGACTGCGCTAGGGTATTTCCGTTCCGTTAGACTCCCGCTCCCCTGTCCCAACACAGATCCACGGACACCACCCTTGAAATCACTCAGGAAATAGACTGCTTAATTTTAACACAGACACAAGATATAAACTTTCAATCGAACAACCCCCCCCCCCCCCCCCCGCATAAGGACACAGGACGGGGCAAACCAAATCTAGCAATAAGAAACACATCAGCAGACAGTCCCATCAGGGGGAAGGGCTGCCGAAAACACCCCCCACCAAGCCAACACAAACACATACATCCCATAATAGTTTGCTCCCAAGCAAGACACACAATAGAACAATGGGATGCACCACATGGCAGTACAATGAACAACGCCCACACCCCACCTATACATGTCTACACAATATCAGGACATTCCACCCTGTACCCCTAACAGG